TGATTTTGCTTGGATTTCCTTGGAATTCCTTGGATTTCCATGGAATTCCTTGGATTTCCTTGGATTTCCTTGGAATTCCTTGGAATTCCTTGATTTTCCTCGTCATTCCTTGGATTTCCTTGGATTTCTGGGAATTCCTTGGAATTCCTTGGATTTCCTCAGAATTCCTTGGATTTCCTCAGAATTCCTTGGTTTTCCTCGGAATTCCTTGGAATTCCTTGGATTTCCTCGGTTTTCCCTGGAATTCCTTGGAATTCCTTGGCTTTCCTCGGTTTTCCCTGGAATTCCTTGGTTTTCCTTGGATTTCCTTGATTTTCTTTGGAATTCCTTAGAATTCCTTGGATTTCCTTGGCATTCCCCGATTTTCCTTGAATTTCTTTGGCATTCCTTGGTTTTCCTTGGAATTCCTTTGTTTTCCTTGGAATTCCTCGGCTTTCCTCGGAATTCCTTGGATTCCCTGGGAATTCCTTGGCTTTCCTCATCATTCCCTGCTTTTCCTTGGCATTCCCCGCGTTCTCCCCCTCATTTTTCCCGGGAAATGCGGGATTTTCCCGTTCCCATTCCCGGTTTTCCGGCCCCGTACCCGTCTTGGAGAAGATGAGCTGCAGGATGAGCGGCCGGCGCGTGACGATCCCGGAGCCGCGGGGCAGGAAATCCCTGGGAAAGATGGAAAAAGACGGATCAATAAATTAATTAATCCTATGGAAAAGGGACTGGAGAGCACTGGGAAAAGTTTGGGATCAATCCCTGGGATCAGGACATTCCGGGAAATCAGGGAATTCCCACGGAATCCGGAACCTGGGAGGATTTTCCCTGGAAAAACGACGAATTTGGGTTCCCTGCGGCTTTTCCCGAGCCCGGATCAGCGGGAATGAGCACTGGGAAAGTTTGGGAATGGTTTTGGGATCAATCCCTGGGATCAGGACATTCCTGGAAAATGGGAAATCAGGGAATTCCCACGGAATCCAGAACCTGGGAGGATTTTCCCTGGAAAAACGACAAATTTGGGTTCCCTGCGGCTTTTCCTGGGCCTGGAGCAGTGGGAATGAGGCCGGGAATGGTTTGGGATCAATCCCTGGGATCAGGACATTCCGGGAAAATGGGAAATCAGGGAATTCCCACGGAATCCAGAACCTGGGAGGATTTTCCCTGGAAAAACGACAAATTTGGGTTCCCTGCGGCTTTTCCCGAGCCCGGATCAGCGGGAATGAGGCCGGGAACGGCCGGCTGGGAATCGGGAATTCCGTGGGAGCGGCCGCGGATGCCGGAACTGCCCCGGACGTCGCGGCCACGCCGAGCCCGGCATTCCCGGCATTCCCTCGCGTCGTTCCAAGGAAAACAATTCCTGCCCAACCGGGAGGACGAGTCCGGCGGGAAGAGCGCAGCCCCAGGGTGGGAAAAGCTGGAATAAACCTCAGGGAGGGCGGAATTCCCTGATCCCACGGGAATTCCCAGGAATATTCCCATAAATTTGGGTCCAACAGGATCGGCTGTTCCCTGATCCCAGTGGGAATTCCCAGGGAGATTCCCATAAATTTGGGATCAATGGGATCGGCTGCTCCCTGATCCCAGTGGGAATTCCCAGGGAGATTCCCATAAATTTGGGTCCAGTGGGATCGGCTGTTCCCTGATCCCAGCGGGAACGTCGATCCCAGGGATATTCCCACAAATTTGGGTCCAGTGGGATTGGCTGTTCCCTGATCCCAGCCCTGATCCCAGGAATATTCCCATAAATTTGGATCCAGTGGGATTGGCTGCTCCCTGATCCCAGCCCTGATCCCAGGGAGATTCCCATAAATTTGGGTCCAACGGGATCGGCTGTTCCCTGATCCCAGCCCTGATCCCAGGGAGATTCCCGTAAATTTGGGTTCAATGGGATCGGCTGTTCCCTGATCCCAGTGGGAATTCCCAGGGAGATTCCCATAAATTTGGGTCCAACGGGATCGGCTGTTCCCTGATCCCAGTGGGAATGTCGATCCCAGGGAGATTCCCACAAATTTGGGATCAATGGGATCGGCTGTTCCCTGATCCCAGCCCTGATCCCAGGGAGATTCCCATAAATTGGGATCCAGTGGGATCAGCTGTTCCCCGATCCCATCCCCGATCCCAGGGATATTCCCACAAATTGGGATCCAGTGGGATCGGCTGTTCCCTTCTCCCATCCCCAATCCCAGGGATATTCCCACAAATTGGGATCCAGTGGGATCGGCTGTTCCCTGATCCCAGCCCTGATCCCAGGGATATTCCCACAAATTTGGGATCAACAGGATCGGCTGTTCCCTGATCCCAGCCCTGATCCCAGGAATATTCCCATAAATTTGGATCCAATGGGATCGGCTGTTCCCTGATCCCAGCGGGAATGTCGATCCCAGGAAGATTCCCATAAATTGGGATCCAGTGGGATCAGCTGTTCCCCGATCCCATCCCCGATCCCAGGGATATTCCCACAAATTGGGATCCAGTGGGATCGGCTGTTCCCCGATCCCATCCCCAATCCCAGGGATATTCCCACAAATTGGGATCCAGTGGGATCGGCTGTTCCCCGATCCCATCCCCGATCCCATCCCCGATCCCAGCCCCCGGTGACCCCCCCAGCCCCCTGGGAATTCCCATTCCGGAGCAGGATCCGCCCAGCTCCGGCCGTGACGTCACCGAGGCCGGATCCGGCCGCCTCCCACCTGGGCCAGGTGTGACCGAGGGGACAAAGGGTGGAGAAGTCGGGAATTTCCCGATCCCAGGGGAAATTCCCGGATTTTATGGGTGTTTCAGCACCTCAGTCCCCGTGGAATTCCCTCTCCAGCCTCCGTCAGTCCCTGCCGAGCTCTTCCCGGTGATTCTCACCCCAAATCCAGGGAAAGGAAAATTCCAGATCTCTGGGATGAGCGTGGTGTCCTCCCACCCTGCTGTGTTCCCAAATTCCTGTCCTGTTCCTGAATTCCTGCTGTTCCCAAATTCCCAAATTCCCATTCCTGACTTAATTCCTTCCGTTCCCAAATTTCCCTCCCGTTCCTGAATTCCTTTCCTTCCCAA